GATCTCCTCTCCTCTATAGCACGAGAGTAGGTGCCAGCAGGTGCCGGCGCATGCGAGCTCGGGCTTGATTTCAAGCCTTTTCGATCTCCTCTAGTTGGATTTTGATTTGCACCCCCCGCGCGTGCGCGTGAGAGAACCTCTATGCTATACAATTCTACAAGCTTTAAAAGAGCTCATGTATATAAGGGGGGCAAATCTTGTTTCCAAACCAATGTGGGACAAAGTCCACTATTTTCTCTTCATTTCCCAACTCAAATGGGTCTACTTTGAGAATCAATATCTCATTCACCCATTATCCGTTTTGAGCGTACAATATATCAATCTCTTCGTCTCACTACGAAGAATCCGAATCCACTTTGACCCGACCCAAATCGGAAATGGACCCTATTGATAATTGTACCACAAAATAGCCACTTAATATGTTATTTTATGTCATTTTAAGCTAATTTTTCCAACACTATGTAGGTGTAGCAAGCTGTATTAGATATTGTTGGTACTAGTACGTCTTGATAATACTATGTAAAATTTGTTACACTTGCATATTATATTTATACACGGTATAACATGGCATTGATATTTTGATCTTTATTGAAGATGATGATGAAGATTATTATTATTATTATTATTATTATTATTATTATTATTATTATTATTATTATTATATGTGTTTGAAATGATATAATTACGTGGTTGCTTACGACATGCAAACTCAATCCTTGGAACATTTGACCCCTGAAAAGCTGCAAGTTGCTGGCATGAAGCATGAAGTCACAACTCTCTGCTCTTTGAATTGAATTGAATATACTAATTAAAACAAAAATATATAGGGTTTGAATATTCAACATATTACAGCGGATTATAAGCTGGTAATACGTGCTTACTGTTTCAAGCAGACCATTATGTTGCCATGGAACAATATAATACCATGAAAGATTATTGAAAGACATGAAAATATATATAATGTATTATACATGTTTTTAATGTAGTTCCAGCTGTTCGATCTGTCATTCCTAAATCGATTGCGATCTTTTTCGTTAGCCATCGGCCCATCGCATATATATTTTATTAATAGGATAAGTTAAAATATAGTCCAATCAATTGACAAATAAAAGCTTAGCTTGAATACTCCAAATTCTGTTACCTATGCCATACGTGATTTAATGCTGGGGGACATGCTATAACCAAATTGCAATAAATGGGCTGTTTTTTTTTTTTTTTTTTTTTTTTTTTTTTTTTTTTTTTTTTGGGTTGGGGTGGAGGTGGGGGGTGGGGTGTGTGTGTGTGTATGCATTAGGTATCGGAATTTAAGGCAGTCTAATTTTAAGCCAGCCCCTGCTCAAGAATTGTTGGAAAAAGTAAATCGTAAAGTTACTCATTCAATCCCCAGGTTTTCACTCGTTGCACCATTGCATGTACACTTTGTGCGCAATGGTCTTAATATCATTTGATAGGTCGATGTTTTTCAATAATTTCGAGGTTCTCAGTGAGATTTGAACATCTACACTATCATTGGAGCAAGACTTAAAGATGATTGGTCGAACTATCCAATTGTTGTTGCTTCTTCTTCTTCTTCTTGTTCTTGTTCTTCTTCTTCTTCTTCATGAATTATTATCCAAATGGGCACTCATTTTGTGACACAAATGGGCCTTTTTGATATATTGAAAGACTTATGACTTTTCTGCTATTAATTGTCAAGATTAAATATTTACCACTTTTCTAAAAATTATTGTCAGTAGTAAAAGCTTTAACTTTATTGTTGTATACTTGTGTAGCATTGTAGCAACCAATTCCATACCTCATAGATTGTAAAATGTTGGATTTGATTATCTCGACTGCCCAACAAGTTATTATAACTTTGATCTTGTTATAAATATGGAAAATGGTACTCCACTATGTGTTAAAGCAAAAAAAATAAATAAATAAATAAATAAGTAAATAAATCTTATTTAAAGGTAGAGCATAGTATATGGTGTGCGTGTATTAGTGGTATGTAACTTTTTTTTTTTTTTAATGCTACTAGCTCTATTATAATGAAGTATTTGTTCATATACTTTCTCAACCTACTGAAACACAAAGAGCTAATAACGCCTCCAGTGAGGCTCAAACTCACAATCTTCTAAATGAAAGTCCAACCTGAGTACCATTGGAACACTTAGTGATATGTAACTTGATTTTCTTATACTTGCATAATGTAACCGTTGTTAATATAATGGATTATTTAAGTGGTCCCTTAAGACCTTCACCCATTTTGTGGTAATTTATATCATGGACCAAGTCCACATAGCATTATGGACCATGAATTGAAACAATGAGGTACAAAATTCATATTCATAAGGTACAAAATTTCATAACACAAAACACAAAAATCACAACACAAGATCGACACATAAAATAGCATTATGGACCCAGCTGGATTGATAAAACGAGGTACAAAATTCATACTAGTAAGGTACATAATTTCATAACACAAGATACAAACAACCATAACACGAGACACATACACATGTTATATATGTACTTATTTTTTAAAAATGATTTAAGTACATAATTTGTGTTCATAGACACAAAATTTTACAACACAAAACACATAAATTCATAACATAAGACACAATTATTAATTTGTTTCAAGTACAGAATTCACTTATAAGATACAAAATTTCATAACATGCACAAGATACAAAAAGTCATGACATAAGACATAAACACATGAACCCAAATGGGTTGCTCAAGTGGTAAATGAGCTCTTTTTGTAGAAGAGAATTTTGGTATAATCCGAGTTTGATTCTCATAAGTGACGATTCTTTTTGGGCCAGCTCCCGTGCCTACCTCTCGGAACGAACATGGATTAGAAACGGACAGAGAAAGACACAGACCACCTCGTAGTTTACACCGAAAAAAAACACAAACACATGAACCAAGGTCCATAATGCAGTGTTAACTATGATTCATGATATAACAACAATTGCCATTTCATATGATTGATGAGATTAAGATAATTGCAAGTTGGCGCCAACCACTAATTCAAAAGTTAATTGCGGACGAAATTATTATTGATTAATTATCTCCCATCTTTTTCATTGACAAAAAAAAAAAAAGATGGAGAGATTGCAATTTGATAAAGTCAGCAGATTGAAATTATCGTTTGGTCTCCCAACCGTCGCCATCAATGGAGGTTGGGCGGAGGCGCTATAAGGTCAAGGCTCCGGCGGCTGCCACACTCGTATCTAACGGCTGACGTGCTTCGCATCTACTTATGTTCCCATCCCGTACGTTAATTTATTGTTGTTTAAAAAGATTTTATCTTAAATCATTTATTGATTGAATAAATACGCATGCACGTGGACCTACACAGGATTTATAAGTGGACCGACCTATGTAGTGAGTAATTGTAAAAAAGAAATTTGTCCTGGAAGAGGTGATAGAACGTATGAATATGATTATTGTATACAAAAATTATAATTTCAATTATTTTTATAAATATTCTTTTAATTGAGTCTGTCACACATAATTTTTTAGTAGTAGTGGATTTCACTCATCAGTCATCACTAACAAAAATAGTTAAATTCTAATATTTATAAGTTTTATTTATGAAGATATGAATAATTAGAATATTAAGAAATTATATGTTACATTCTGCTTGTGTTAAAACCCGTCTAAAAAAATTTATTGATTAACACTAACTTAAATAATTAAAAAAATTTATTGATTAACTTGAATAACTCTCGATAACCTTCTCCCAAAAGGTTGAATCCCTAATCCCGACTCGACATAGCACTTGGGAGGATGTAAATGACGGTGACTCAATGGCTCAGCAGACATGACCAAATGCCGGTGCGCATAAGAGATCTACTCACTTTGGACATAATCTTTACGTTGTCGCCATCAAGGTTCAAACCTTGTCTCTTCTTCTAAGTACTGTCTAGTCCATTGAGCTAAACACGTGTGGGCAAATAATTCTTGATAACCTTTTTTTTGGAATAATTCTTGATAACCTAATCAAGCACATACACAACGTAACCATTAACAGAAATTTACAAAACTTCCACAGAACACATTTTATAGTTATTTTCCTAATTTTAAAGGAAATTGAAAGTGCATTTACCGACAAAAAAATTGGTAAACCATCAATATTGATACATACAGAAAAAATATTTACAAATGCACATTTATATTTCTTATATTTGTATATGTTTATCTCACTTTTCCAGTTTCCTATCAATTCTCCGTTTCATGCAACTCAGAGTAGTAGATTATGTTTCCTAATTAATTAAGTAATATATAATAGATTGTATATCTGAGTCAGTTTATAAATTATAACTAAGCTAACAAGAAACCCCCAAAAAAGAAATTAAATATTAAAAATGGAGGTCAAATTTGCCCACCGCAGATGAGATGAAACATATATAGCCGCCGCTATCGACAAACAACCCGAATTCAATAAGTTCTAGCTACATTATAAATCCATATATATAATTATTGACGTATCATTGCATCAAATTAATAATTTATTATTATTTCCTTAATTTATATTTTTATAGAATTTATTATCACCTAATTTAATTTCATTTTAGCATCTTTATCATTAAATCAAGAAAACTAATAAGTCATTCTTATCAACAATTAAATTTATAATTTTTAAAAAAACTTAGGTGATCTTAACTTCATTGGACCACTATAAAGATAAATTACAAGTCAGGTAATCAAGACACCAATCATGTTCTAATCTTCATGTGTGCACAAAGAGTCCAATCCCCTGATTCTAGTGACTTTTAAGTTAGGCAACGAACTAATTAAACTAAACCCCAGAAACATTAAATTTATAATTTTATGTTACTAAATCAGTTGACCAACTTGGTTGGCTGTGCATCTTTATTTATGTGTATATATATAAGAGCACATGAATGCATCTGGAGTTATCGGAGTTTCATATTACAGATTTAAGTATTGATAGTAAGATTGGTAATAAGGAACCGGAAAGGGAAAACTAAGGAACGACGATAATGGAGTCGTATTCTTCTTCTTCTTCCTCGTCGGTGTCGTGTCCGTTTGCGGTGTATCAGGTGGAGGAAGGGAAGAGGGCGAAGCCGTTGCCGTCGTACCAGTCATCTCTGCATGCGGTGCGTAGGGTTCCGAAGCCGATGACGAAGAAGCCGATAGCGCCAATGCCGCCGACGCCGCCGAAGATCTACAAGGTGGAGCCGCTGCACTTCAAGGAAACGGTGCAGATGCTCACGACGGCGCCGGGGTTCCAGTCGGCGGCGGGTGGGTCCTGCGGCAGGCGGTTGCAGGACGTGGCTCCGCCGCCGCTAAACCTCAAGCCGAAATCTCCGCCGGAAAGTGTCGTCAGCAATGACGCCGCCGCCGCTTCGGAGTGGCAAGCGTTTCTCAGTCTCTCAGCCGGTGATGACGCGCACGTTTCCGATGTTTTCGGCAATGATCGGGCGGTTGTAAGCGGCGAAACGACGACGCTGGAGATATCAATGCCGCAGCATCCTCGTACTCCTCCCAACGTTTGCGGCGGATATGCTAGCCCGCTCGGGGTTCCGCCGCTGTCTCCGTCGTCTCTTGCATGGTGGGCGTCGATTCTTCCGAGCCCCGGAACGCTGTCGTCCCTGTAAGCAGATGTTGTACTGTTCTCTATCTAATAACCAAAAAAACATTAAAAAAGAAGCTGTATGTGTATGTATGTCTTTCTTAACCTGCAATATTGTCTTTGGATAAATTGAGGTTAGCTCGAGTTTGAACTGTAATATGAAAGTAGCTATCCTAGGTAGTATGCTTAAAAGATGTTAATTTAAAGAGATGCAGTCCGTCGTATATATCTTTGTTTCTGTGTGTGCGTCGGCCGCCATGGATGATCATCGTATAGTACCTAGGTACGTCGTAATACTAACAGTGTAATACTTTGCATATGTATCTTCTTTTTCATTAATTAATGGAAATCTACACTTTAATTCACACATCCTTGCACACAAAAGGTAAAATTCCTTGCCAGAAGTGTCTCAGCCTACGCCCATCACAAAGAATATAGAAAGATAAATCAAGATAATTTAGTCACTCATTAGCTGAGGATCAGTGCAAGAATCATAACCATGTCGGTGAAATATTTTCACTTTGGATTTCAAAATAGGAATGATTTGAAAATGAGATGTAAAGAGGAAACATGTCTTCCAAAAAAGGCATCTTCCAAGTCGTGTTATCTAGATATAACACGGCTTCCAAGCAAGACGGTTTTTCCTCTCTGGATTTTAGAACCTTCCTTTATTAGAATTCATTTCAAATTTTGTTCGTCGTCGTAGAAAGTCCGTAACAGATAATCTCACATTCTTCTTCCTAAACTTCACCCATATGATCAATTGAGCTATCATACAGACCCGTAATCAGCGCATTCTTAAATAGGCCGTTAGTCTTGGCTCCAAATTAATAGTTTAGTCCTATAGTACAAGTATAAGATTTTGATATCCATTCTTCTGTAAATGATCAGTATAATTATCATATCTGATCTAATCAACCCTTGATTTCTCATATGAAGAGTTTAAGTGCTATTAGCTTGATGAAATTTTCGTCAGCAATTCAATGTGTTGGTTTTATAATGGTTGTAGTCAACGGGCACTAACGCAACTGTTCGGGACAAGTGAAACATTGCTAGAGGCGGTAAAAGTTCAATATGATTGTTTTGGAGTGGTAAAAATTGTAAATTATTTACATGCCATTTTTCAGGGTTAAGGAGCATTGAATGCTATTAACCCTATTCAGAAATTAAGGCTGGTGTATTCAATCATGACTTTCATAGAGTTTTAAAGACTTTTATGAACTTTAAAAGTTTGGAGGTATTCAATTCAAATTTTTAGAGAGTCTTTAAAAGTCATGCGGTATTCAATCAAGATTTTTAAAGAGTCTTTAAAAGTCATGTGGTATTCGATTAAGACTTTTAAAGAGTCTTTAAAAGTCATGTGGTATTCAAAAAGTTATGAACTTTTGTAGACTTTTTAATTTTAAGACTTTTGTAGACTTTTCCTTCTCAAATATATATAGTTGAAATCCAACCATCAACCCCAAGATTTCAAATTTTCTTTCTAACAACTTTGAATGTTTTCTCTCTCTATTTAAACTCTATTTTTTCTCCTTATTTAAAATTTATAAACCTATCTAAATTCAATAAAATTATTATTTTTCTTCATTATCCTATATTTTCCTCATACCTAAACTCTATCAATTTTTATCTCTCTCCTAAACTTGAGAATCTTCATCTAAAAATTCAAAATAATCTTATTTTTACTTCATTATTGCTTGTTTATATTGATTTTTATTTTTTCTATGAATTTTTTATCCTAACTTTCTCTAATTCCCCCTAAATACATGAACAAAGCAAAATTTTCCTCGTTAAATTTTAGTATATGTTTCATAATATTCATATAAATACTTATATATTTTGATTTTTTTTTATGTTTATATTCGTAATATATATTTTTCTTTTGTTTTTTTAACAATAGGTTACTACGAATAGCGAACTACTGTTCGCAACAACAATTTGGGGTTGCAAACATTAGCACCTTGTCGTTGTTCGCAGTCTCAAATTGTTATTGCAAATAATAGTTCTTTACATGATGCCTAACAATATATCAAGTATAATTATATATATATATATTATTAATATTAGATTTTTATTTTTTTATTCTATTCAACTTGTAATTATATTTTTAAATATTTTATTTGATCAATTATTTTATTATAAATTTTATTGTTCAATATTGTTATGAATTTCTAATGGAATTTTTTTTTTGTTGATGTTTATTAATAATATATATAAGTAATTAGCATATAAGTCTCAGCATACTATGGATAAAAATAACAATGTTGAGAATGTTGATGCGTGTGAAGAACTGTATAATAAGAAGAATTTTGTGATGTATTATAAATGTTTTATATGAAAATTATAAATGATAAGAATCAAAATCATTGAAAGTTTGTAAGGATGTATTGAATTTAGAATTTCATAGACTTTTGTAGAGTTTTTAAAATAAAAAGTTGATAAAAGTTTATGAAAGTTGTTTATATAGACTTTTATAGAGTCTTATAAAGTTTTAAAAAGTTTTGAACGACTCTATGAAAGTCAATCAAAGTTTATTAAAATCCATCATTTTAAAAGTCTTTAAAACTCTACAAAAGTCATGATTGAATACACCCCCCTAAGGTCCTGTTTGGTAAAATGGCTGTTAGCTGATAGCTGTTAGTTGTTAGCTGATTGTGTTAATTAGAGGGTATAAATAGTGATAACATTAGCTGATTGTAGAAAAGTGTTTGGTAAATTAGCTGTTAGCTAATAGCTGTTTGGTATAATTTCTTTTCTCAAAAAGTTAATTGAAAAAGTTGCTTGGAGTAGCTTTTTGAATTTTAGCCTTTTGTAGTTGCAAAAAGCTAATTAACCAAACATTTATATTGATATTTTAACTAAATCAAACAATTAATAGTGATCAAATAAGTCAAAATTAACCTATAGGCCAATTTTTTACCAACCAGGGCCTAAATGTCTAAAATCAGTTGATTGATTACAAATTGATTGGATTCTAAGTAGGTAAGAAATTTCCCTAAAATATGACAACAAACTCCCCAAATTGTTATTCCTATAAATAGAAAACCGTTGTTAAAATTTTTAGCATAAAATAACATTTTAAGTGAGTATTTTGTGGTACAAGTATATATGTGGTCACTTTTGATTTGGGCCGGATCAAAGTAAATTCGCACTTTTTGTATTGAGACAAAAATTGATATATTGTACACTAAAAACTAATAATGCGTGAATGATAAATTGATTCTCAAAGTATATCCATTTGAGTTGGGAAATGAAGGTGGAAAAACAAAAAACACTTGTCCTACATTGGTTTGGGAAGTGAATTTGCACCACTATATATACAATAACCTTTTAAAAAGGAGATTGAATTGTATAGTATAAAGGCTCTCTAATTTATTTTAGATGTTAATGCCAGATTGCTAGGTGTTACTCGCCTGTTGTTCTTGTAACACAGGACTCGAATTTTCTCATTCTTCTCTTCTTGTGTTGGGTTTATATTCTAGATTATAAACCCCCCCTCCCCCCCACCCCCACCCCCCCCAACAACTGTGTCCTAGCAAGACAGGTTAACCACTTTGACCGACGTCAAGAACACTAAGCCAGCCAAAGACAACCGTCATACTCCTCATGTAAGACTTTCTCGTATAATATATATTATATATTATATATTATATATTATATATTATGAGTCTTAATTATGTGGTGCAAGTGGACTAGGCCCATTAAGTAATTGGTTAGACTAGACATTTAGGTTTAAGTCTGTATTCCACTAATGTGCCTATATAAAGCCTCTATTGATGGGATACATGACACATTATTCATTATATGATACTCATACTACTCAAAAAATACCAGTACACCATCTAGGGTTCTGAGTCAAGTATGGGACAAAACGGCTAACCCTATTTTACAGATCTACCGTTCAAGAGGTAACACAACAAGATCAACTATGGCTGAAGATCTACACTGCTTCTGTTTCCGCTACTACAAGGTTAGGTTTCTCGTAGATCCTACTCTGTATGGTTAGACTATATTTAGATCTAACACCTCACACTCACCCATCAAAATGTATTCTACTAAATGGGGGACAACCTCCAACCGAGTTGGTCAAACAGTTAGTTAGGTAATCACAAGATTTCAAATTTGGTTTCATGTGTGAGACATCTATTGACATTTTTTATTTGAGTTGGGCTGCTATGGACAACGTAGATTGCTTTACCTGGCCTCTTTCTAGTCCTTTTCCTATTAGACCATCTCCAACCCTCCGCACCAAATTCTGCACCAAATTTTACACCAAAAGAACTATTCCCAGCGTATTCTTACACCAATTTTTTTTTTCATCTCCAACCGATTACACCAAATTTTATTTTTACACTAAAATAATTTATATTCTCATAAATTAGAAGTTTATATTTATACTTTTATTATTTTAATATAACTAATAGTTGTAATTTAATAAATTAAACGTTAATTATGTTTTATGTAATTTTATTTTTAATTAAATTATATTCAATATTAATCTTGTTTTAATCGTCTTGATAAGATCTTTGAAATGATATAATTTTATTTTAATAATATATAATTTATGTTTAAATATTTAATAAAATATGTAAATATATATATATATATATATATATATATATATATATATATATAAACAAATAAGATACAATATAAATATAATGCAAATATTATTTTATTCCACAATAATAAATCATAAAACATCTATTACATTTAATTTTCATAATTACCATATCGTTCCCACATATACTCAATCAATGCATCACGAAGCGCATAATGCGCTTCTTTATTTTTGATTTGCCTATGTCGAACAAGAAACTCTTGAAAGACAATTCTCTCATCTCTACCTATATCAACTTCAGGAGTCGATGCTTCTCTCCAACTTTGTATATCTACTTGCTCATCACGTTCATCTTCAATGATCATATTATGCATTATGATGCATGATGACATTATATCATTCAATACATGTTTATCCCAAAAATGTACTGGTCCATTAACTATTGCAAATCTTGATTGGAGGAT